TATTGGTATGCAATGTCTCGAAAGTGTTGTGAATAATTAGAATTTCTAAAATTTCTATAAGCAAAATTTATTTCTAGAGAACAACCTTTTGATCTTATTGCAACACAAGGATATAGAATATCCTTATCATTAAGGTTTCGGAAAGCTATCCCTTAAAATGATCAATATTCATGCAAATATTATGTCAATAAATATTTTTAAAAAATATAAGGTTATTTCGTCAGTAAGATAATAATTACCCAAATGAACACCATTCCTGGTATAGAAAGCGGTCCTATGTTTAAAGTTTATACAACATCCAATGGTGTCACCAGTTGTAAATAAAGGGCCATATGATCTATATACTCTTTCATAAAAAATTTTACCATCATCGCCATGATAACCCCACGAACCTTGGTAATATCCTATAAGAATTATAGATAGATTTAATAAATTAATTAATATCGACAATGATGGTATTAAAGTTCATAATTACCGGGTAACTGATTATGATTCTCTTTTTTATCAATTTCTTTTGTACAAAATCCAATTCCAATTACTCTTTTAAAAATAATAAAATTAAATGAACAAATTTATACAAATTTGAATTTACAGTATCATACATGTAATATAAAAATATTTAATAATTACGCATATTTTCCTTGATCTATAATATCAATTTCGAAATAAAACAATTCACATTGTCGGGGAATTGGATGATTCGTTCGTATAGAGGCAATCTCACTATCGTTTTCCCCAGGCCCTTTTTTGTTCATAAAAATTTTAATAAGTTTACAAGTCACATGATCCTCAACGCATGTAAATACAAGTCGAAAATAATCAGTTGGTATACCAAAATGGCATGGATATAAAATCTTTGATAATGATCCTATATAAAAACACCTAATCGATTAATCGTTGATAATCGATAAATTGTCTAGTAAAATTATCAGCCGATTAGTTACCAACTTGATCAACTAATCGATTAATCGATTTTCGATTTAGAACAAGCTGAATATTTACAATGGTATAGAGGCTTATAGCAACTTCAACGCAGCACATTTTCAACAAGACATTTACTTTTATTAGGATTTAGGAAGAAGTTTAAGCCAATAAAATGGCTGCAAGGAAAATTTTCCGCAGGTGAAAATGTTGTCGTAAATGTGCCAATATTTAATA